TATCTTTTTTAATTGTTCTTCAAAGGCCAAGAGAGGCCAATGTAAAAAGTAATAAGATGGGGTTAAAAAATAGACAGTTTGTTAATAGTCTGCATGGTAATAGTGATAAATGGGGGACAGATAGATACTAGACCAAATATTTTGTTGATGCTATTCATACTATTTTTCTTGGTTTTGGGCAACAAAGCTTCATTTATCAGTTTATGGATCCTCTAAATTGTATTGTACTCAGGTGACCGTTAAGGCCCTTGGGCCTCTTTTTTTTTTTTTTTTTTTTTTGGAAATTATGGATGCCAGGTTAGAGTTGGCTAAAATCTGGATCATAGTTTTACATTATGCATGTATACAGGAAAAGAATTTTCTTCTCCATAACTGCAAGGCCATGTTACAGTTGATAGAGTAGATAATTTATATTTCAAGAATCAATTTGAGGAAAACTTTTTAATTCTGACAGCTTATGAATTTTCTATGTGACATTTGCTTTATTATTAAAATGTCACAAAACAAGAAGCCATATGAGACGTTAGTTCAAATAATCTTATGTTAATGGAAACAGTGATAATTAACACTATCCTTTATTAAGTAACATAGCAGTCATCAGCTTTGGTGTGTATGTCCTTATTTTTATACCCTCCGCAAATGAAGTTTGAGGGGGGTATATAGGAATCACCTTTTCCGTCTGTTTGCCCATCTGTGCAATCTTGTCCAGGAATGTGCAGGAAGCTCTTGGTACAGTGATTGCTGAGTTAGTTTTTTTTTTAAAATCAATTATGAATGTAATTAAACAAAATAAAATCATGTTTGATATGCCCAAACTGGTTTTTCTGTAACTAGATTTGAATAACAATATAATTTTTATTCCAATCTTTTCAAAATAAAAATATGTCCAAAAAAGGGGGGTTAAGGTAACATAAGTGGGATTATTAACGTATTATCATTTTCATATGACAGAGGGTGGACTAGTGAAATGCGTTATGGACTAGTGAAAATTAAGTCATTAGTCCATACTGACTAAGTGCTTATAAAAGTTAATGTTGAACCCTGTGGAAGCTCATACTTGGTACAAAAATTGCAAATGTCCTTCCGGTTTGTCATGACCTTGACCCAAGGTCATTCTGGCAAGTTCAAGGTCACTGGCAGAAAAGTATAAAATTCTTATCCAGGCTTTAAAGGCAGAGATTTTTTATCGGGTGGTAAATTCCAGGTGAGGGAGGAGCTTATATTGTACAGATGTGAATGCCTGAGCCAGGTTTGAGTGCTAGCAGTCTACCTGTGGTCGTTTGTCTCCTAATCCATATACACAGGAATTGAATTAATACACAATAAAATACCCAAGAAGTCAGTCGAACCACAGGCACCAAACTCGCTTGAATTTTTGACCCCCTAGTATATTATATACGAGGGGGTCAAAAATTCAAGCGAGTTTGGTGCCTGTGAGTCGAACTTTGCCTGTGTTGGGGATTTCGAGACAATTTTGAATTAGAAGTAAAAAATTTGTAAATAAAATTCATCTCAATAAGAACTACAAATGATAGTATTGTTCTCCCACCTACCTCCAAGTCAATTTTCAAAAGTTAACACATTTGAATGATTTTTTCATAATTATATAGATATTTATATGAATTTTCATAAAACATTGCTTCTTGAGGAAAACAAAGAGAGATAACTCTATAATTTTGGTAAAACTTGTGTTTTTCACTATAGAAATCAACGGAAAATGGAAAATATTTTTAAAACATCTCCCCCCCCCCCCCCCCATGAAACAAAAATTCCTTTTTACAGGTAATATGGACTGTCATTTCACAAATTCATACCAAAGCTTTTTGTGTTTCACGGGGGGGGACATATGACTACAGACTAAAAACTACAAAAATGCTTATTTTTTTCACCAATTTCAAAGGGGTTTACAATTAAAACATTGTATTTTATTGATGATATATGCTTAATTTTATATGCATAAAACATAAGAAAAGATTTAAAGAACATTTATTCATATGCAAGTATTTTAAAATGTGCTTTTGCTTTAAAGCCCGATTTCAATGGAAAATATCGTCTACCCCCCTCAATTAAAGAACTGGAATTAGGGATAATTAACTATTTAGCACTGGTATTAAAATTATCAGTCAATTACCAATGAACTGTTCTTTGCATTCAACAAAGATTTTATAGCCAAATTGCCATTAGTATTGAATTAAATGGGTTTAAAATGTAGGCAGGAATAGAGATTTAGGTGCGTAGTTCTTTATACTGATTTGTGTTTGAATTTGTGTCAAAAAGTCCCCATCTATTTAAAAAAATATTATTATTGAAAGTATTTGTTGAGCTTCGATTACGGCCATATTTAGAGAACTTACTTCCCGTTTGTATGAAAAATTGTGTGACCCTATCAATAGCATACAGCGAAAAATTCGGAAAGTTTAGACACCTTTTTATTTGCTTCCAAAGCATTGAAAATATAATAATTTAAAAAATCTGATACTATTAATTCACATATTAAAACTAAGAGTGTTTTAGATGTGAATATATGTGTTAATTTAAAAAAAAAAAAACACTCTGGACAGTTACTTGCCCCATGTAGCGAGAAATGCTGTGTAGAAAAAAAAAACCTCAATAATGTGTACAGGCAAAATAGGTACCGAATCAGACTTTATAAATACATTCATCTCCGAGATCCCATTTTTTATATGGAAATAGAACCATTAGCTGCAATTAAAAAAAAATACTCATTAGGTTTATCCTAACTTTGTCACCATGTCTAAGTTTACATGCTTAAAAAAGTATTGCTTATAAATTCTTATCCGAATTATGAAGCAAAATATCAGTGACCTATGTAATCATGATTAGAAACATTTATAAACATTTTTAAATTCAATTACATGACATTTCATGTGTAGCGTGTTAAAATTAATATGTACGTCTAAATTCAAGTATGAATACTGAATCAATTATACTGTAAATCGAAATTTACTTTGAAAAAAAAAGTTATTATACCAAAGTTTGATATATAATATCATGAAGAATATTATAATCATATCAAATACCAAAGGTATATAAAATTATGTATTTATTTATTAAGCTTAAATTTTTCCTAGTATTAAATACAGCTTCTTTATGTACCATGTGTGGTAAATATCAAATGATCAAAATTTAATTTGAAGGCTGCCACAAGTGCCAAACAAGTGTACAGGGTATACATGTTGTGCAGGGACTAGTAAGTAAATGTCAATCAAGTTCTAGCACCCAATGATGGACCTTAATGCACTTGATTGACAGGGGTACTCTGACTAGGTAATTTTGAAGGAGGTGCCTTTTGCTGCCTTTAACTTTGTAATAGAGAATCATTGGAAGCTCATACTTAGTACAGAGATTGTTTATGACCTGAGAATGTGTCACGACCTTGATAATATTCATATCAGGTTTATAGTTTTCTAATGGAGAAACATTGCATGTCCATATTTCACTGAAAGATTACTAATGATCAGAGGATGTGCCATTTTTTTAACCAAGGTCTTTTTTGGCAAGTTCAACATCACATTTACAAAATTTTAATGGGCACTTTAAAAAATTGCAGTGGGGGGATTAGTTTGTGAGCTCACAGTACCTCTAGTTGAAATCAGACTCCTGATTGCTAAAACTAAATTTTTCTTTGAAGGATCACTAGGATACAAATTGTCAAATGACAAAACTTTATTTTTCAAATCCATATATGTACTCCAATTTTTTTTTTTTTGAAAAGGTCAAGGTCATGTAAATGATAAATGAAGAATACCATTCCATACCTTTGCAGCCTCAGGTGTGAAGGACTTAATTCTTACTCTTGGTGTTGGGTTATTGCTTTAACTTATATCCTAAAGGGCAAAAACATTGTCACTTTTTGAGCAAAAAATTTTTTCCAAGCTTAAAACTTTTATGCCACTAAAGTGATTTATTTTAAATCTCACACAGAAGTCATTTTTAGTGATGTGGTTTGTTAGCATTGTTTATTTGCTTTTTATCCTTTTGAGAAATTTTCATTCATATTGGGATGCCACCAATTGCTGGTGGAAGACTGCAAATTTAGACCTGTGCTTGGCACTTACTTTCCATCTACTGCAACACAGGACCTCAATTTATACAGTCTCATCCAAAGGATGGTCTCCATGTCCCACAGTATGATGCTAGCATTGATTCAAGATATTATTGTAAAATGTAGACATTAAAACATTTTTCTTTGAAGCCAGAAAAGAGAACAATTTGATAAATGTAATTTCAAACAATAGATTTTCTTGCATAGGTGGTTTGTCATGAGTCCTGGCTTTGATTCAAATCCACAAGTCAAGGTAGCCATTGTGCCAAACATTTTTGTTGGTTAATGCAACAAGTCATAAAAGGCTGTTGTATACACATGTTCATTCTGTAAAAAATACAGTAACACATAGTTACAGGGAATACACTTATAATAAATTCATGCTTACAGCAAAATGTTTTTTATTCCCTGTCAAATTAATAAGCATTATGAGCTTATGGTATTTAACAGGTTAAGTTTATAACATCAAAATTGTTCATCCCTGTCATTTCACTATAAATGAGTTTTACTGTATACATGTATTTTCTGCTTTTGATTTGGATCAATGTCATTATACTTCAAATGGATAGAGAAAGGTATTCTTCAGCAGTCATTTGATGGCAACCGTTAGAATCTCTAGGTGGAAAATTGAGACCTGGTCACATAGTAGCAGGTGTTGAACACCCTAGCTAATCAACACTACCTAACATATGATGTCTTATCAATGCCTTGTCTTCACTTTGAGGGAAACTGAACTATCTAATGTACCAGATAAATGATATACCCTGAAAAACCATTGTAACAACCCATTAACTTCAATACATCAGTCAACATTTGCAAATGATTTGATTTCAAAGCAAAGAGTCTGGACCAATTTTTGTCAGAGAAAATGCAACAGGAACAGGCTTGCCAGCTTTAATTAAGTACCAGGACTGTATTCTTTATTTATTCTCAGGTTATCAGATGGTCTTGCATCCCTGGATTTGTCAATGGATGGAGAGGAGAAAAGGACTGAATTGAAAAAGCAGATAGGAAGACTGGAGGGTGAACAGCAGGAATGGCAGATCAAGCAAAAGATGAATAAAAGCTAACAGAATATGGACAAATTCATATGGGAGACTATAAATGTATGATAGATATTCAATTAAAGATTGCTGGCAAAGGACAGGGAACTCTAGTCTGTTTTTTAGGATGTAGAAATCATGAATGAGAAATTTAAGAGTTGTTTTTTATATTGATTTATTTCAATAAATATTTGTAAGAAATTGAAGATTTTATCTCTTCTTTCATGAAAAAAACAAACATATAAGTTACACAATGTTAACTGTCAGTTTTTACATCATATATATTTATATAAACATATGGAAGTGAGTAACACAGGTACATATGCACTGATTTATTTAATGATATCAAAAGCACATTTTTGATTCAAGGTCACTTGTGAAGCATAAAATGTAAACACACACAGCAACAAGTTTCCATAACTTTAGGACAGTGCACCTCAGCTGACATGTTTAAAATTATATTTCAAACAATATTCTTGGAAAACATTTCAATCTTCTTGTCATAAATGTCTGTCATGCAATACTTTGAGTATTTACATTACACCAATAAGAGTAAAAACTGTTACAGAGTTTGATAGAGATGTCAGAAACATGAATTTCTGGGGGGAATTCATGTTTTATACTCTTCAACAACTTGAATATATTGATAATGCAGCAATAAAAGTATCTTCTTTTTGTACATTATTGCTTAAAATTCTCTTTCTATATCTATTCCACCATGATTTTTAAGACACCCTTCAGCGACATCAAACCTGAAGGTTTATTAACTGTTGTAACAAATGTATATTATGTTCAACAACAAAAAAATCTAGTCAACAAGTATTTTCCAGTGTGGGTATGTATCAAATAGAATTTTTGACTTTCAGGTGATATTCCTTTATTCCATACTTCATGTGTTTACACAGATAGAAGTACACTTTTTTCCATGCTGCCGCTACCTCTTTCGTGTATGTGTCCTTTAACACCTGCTTCAGGCCATAATTCAGGGAGGGCCACAGAAGCTGAAAGAACATGATTATAAATTGAAAAGTATCAAAAAAATTTATAATAGATACTTTGGGGAAGGAAATAAATGTTTTATTTACCTCAAGCATCTTGGGTTTAATTTTTCGCTGCCCATGAGACTTTCCTATGTTTTCCACAATGCCATTGAAGAACTCGGAGTGATCCAAACTTTCCACAGCCGCCCCAAGACTGTGCATGACGTTTGAAGCATGACGACTCAATACCTCCATATCCATGTCAAGTTCAAGTTCGTTCGAATCGTTTATTTTGACGATTTTTGGAAAAACTTTTTTCACACTTGGTTCAGTTTCAAAGAATCTGGAAAATGTAAAATCGATTGAAAAAATAGAATTTTTTACTATTCCTTATCTATTTTATAGGCGTTACTTGTTTCAATTTTTTTTCCCGATGTGCACAAGGGCCATATCACATTTCTGCTAAATGTGTCAAAATTCAAATGCATATTATGTACATTCAGCGCAAAACAAAACAAAACAAGATGTGTGTGTGAAACACTGATGCCCCCGTATGGCAGCTTATGGCGAAGGGTAAAGTTTCTTCAAATGCAAGTCAAAATCCAGGCCAAAAGATAAAAAAAATGTTGATACCCAAAGAAAGGTCTTGTCTCGAGGAATACACCTGTGAAATTTGAAAGACCTAGCTACAACTGTTCAAAAGTTATGGCGAAGGTTAAAGTTTTTTAAATAAAAGTCAAACGTCAAGGTCAAGGTCAAAGTGGTTGGTATCCAAAGGAAGATCTTGTCACAAGGATTACACCTGTGAAGTATGAAAGCCCTAGCACCAACCATTCAGAAGTTATGGCCAAGGTTAAAGTTTTTCAAAAGTAGGTCAAACTCCTAGGTCAAGGTCAAAGGGTCAAAGTGGTTGGTATCCAAAGGAAGGTCTTGTCACAAGGATTACATATGTGAAGTATGAAAGCCCTAGCATTAACCATTCAAAAATGGCCAAGGTTAAAGTTTTTCAAAAGTAGGTCAAACTCCTAGGTCAAGGTCAAAAGGTCAAAGTGGTGGTTGGTATCCAAAGGAAGGTCTTGTCGCAAGGATTACATATGTGAAGTATGAAAGCCCTAGCTGCAACCATTCAAAAGTTATGGCCAAGGTTAAAGTTTTTCAAAAGTAGGTCAAACTCCTAGGTCAAGGTCAAAGGGTAAAAGTGGTTGATATCCAGAGGAAGGTCTTGTCACAAGGAATACACATGTGAAGTTTGAAACCCTAAGCACCAACTGTTCAAAAGTTATGGCCAAGGTTAAAGTTTTTCAAAAGTAGGTCAAACTCCAAGGTCAAGGTCAAAAGGTCAAAGTGGTTGGTATCCAAAGGAAGGCCTTGTCACAAAGAATACACATGTGAAGTTTGAAACCCCAAGCTCCAACTGTTCAGAAGTTATGGCCAAGGTTAAAGTCTCATAAAATTTTGCAAAAGTAGGTCAAACTCCAAGGTCAAGGTCAAAAGGTCAAATATGATGGTACCCAAAGAAAGGTCTTGTCACAAGGAATACACATGTGAAATATGAAAGTCATAGCTCCAACCAATCAAAAGTTATGGGCAAGGTTAAAGTTGACAACAGACAGACAGACAAACAGACAAACGGACAAACAGACAGACAGGACAAAAACAATATACTCCCGGGATCTTTCGATCCGGGGGCATAAAAATACTGCAGAGGTAATAAAACATGCTTAATCATTTTTTCCCTTTTTCATGGAACTTGAAAATAAAACAAATTGGTCGGGTTAGTAGGTCTCATTCCGGTAAGAATGAGAGTTCATCGCTTATCTGCGTGTGCGAGTGTAACTGATACAAAAACATAAATTCTGTAATTAATTGCAGGGGCATCTTAGCGGAGGAGTTAACGTATTTTTGTTTTTTTTTTTTAAGGGGAAAATCAATATTTGCTAAACACCACGCAAGATTCTGTGGAAAGCAGGTTTTTCTGGCTAATTTCCTTTTAAACCTGTAACATTTGGCAGGATGAATGAGGAAACAGTACTCCGTTGTCAACAAATGAAACCATTATCTGTCACAAACTATTTTCTTAATAAAAACTTCAGGAATTTGCAGAGAAAGGTGAAAGCAGAAAATATGTTTAAGTAGATTTTCCCCTAAAAATATATAATTTGAACAAGAGGCCCAGGGGCCTTAACGGTCACCTGTGTATAATACAACCCTGAGAAGGAAGATTTTCAAAATATTAATGGAAGTTCACCGCGATCAATAGAGCCCCGCCCTAACACCAAAACCTCTGACCAAGGTGCCAGGAATTTCACGATATTGACAATGGCGCCCTTGATCATCATAATTATACGCTTAGTTTATCTGCTTAATATCCAGAAACAGAGAAGATTTTCAAAGAATTAATGTATATGCACTATATAAATCAATAGAGACCCACTCTAACACCAGAACACCTGACCAGTGACCCAGGAATTTCCCAATTTTGGATGAAGAACCCTTGCTCATAATAACCATGCACTTAGTTTGCTTAATACCCAAGGGCTGAGGAGATTTTCAGAAAAATAATCCATTTCAACAACATGTATATTATGAATAGAGCCCCGCCCTAACAACAGAACCCCTGACCCAGGGGCCATAAATTTCATAAATTTTGAAAGGGGCATCCTTGCGCATCATAACCACGCAATTAGTTTTTCTGCCAAATATACACGAGGAGAGAAGATTTTTAAAGAATCTATGCCTTTCACTTTCTAATCAATAGAGCCCCGTCCTACCATCAGAACCTCTAAGGGACCAGGAATTTCCCAATTTTTTAAGAGGATAATTCTTGCTCATTATAACCATGGACTTGGTTTACTTGCTTACCGGGTATTATCAAAGAGTAGAGAAAAAGATTTTCAAAAGAATTATAATACTTGTCACTATATATCGGCAAATAATAGAGCCCCGCTCAAAACCACAACCCTAACCCAGCGGCCACGAAATTCATAATTTTGGAAGATGCACCCTTGTTCTTCATAATCATACACTTTGATTGCCTTATACCCAGAAGCAGAGAAGATTTTCAATGAAATAATGCATTTACACAACATAATGAATAGAGCCCCACCCTAACACCAGAGCCCCTGACCCAGGGGCCATGAAATTTCAAACTTTTAGAAGAGACCCCCTTGCTCATCATAATCATGCAAATAGTTTGTATGCTGAATGCCCAGTGACAGAAAGGATTTTTAAAGAATTTATGCATTTTCACTATATGATCAATTAGAACCCCACCTTAACACCGGAACCCCTTACCCAGTGGTCATGTAATTCACAATTTTGGAAGAGGCTCCTTTGCTTATCATAACCAAGCACTTAGTATATTTGTAATTACATACCTAGGAGTAGAGAAGAAGATTTTCAAAGAAATAATGCATTTTCACTATATAATGAATAGCGCCCCGTCCAAACAACAGAACCCCTGACCCTGGGGCCATGAGTTTCACAATTTTGAAAGAAGGACCCTTGCTCATCATAACCATGCACTTTTGTCTGCTGAATATACTGAAGCAGAGAAGAAGATTTTTCAAGAATTTATGCATTTTGACTATGTGATCAACAGAGCTCGCTCTAACACCAGAACCCCTGACCCAGGGGCCATGAATTTTAAATTCTGGAAGAGGCCCTTGTTTATAATAACCAGAACTTAATTTGTCTGCTGAAAATACAAGAAAGAGAAGCTTTTGAAAGAAATTATGCATTTTCCCTTTATGATCAATGGAGCCCCACCCAGCTCCAAAACCCTTGATCCAGGGGCCATGAATTTCACAATTTTGGTAGAGGGCTTAGTGCTTATTACAATCATGCCAACAGTTTGAATGTTTGATATCCAGGAGTAAACAAGAAGTTTTTTTAAATTTGCATTATTTTTCATGATTTTAACCCCACCCCTCAGGTCTCCCCCGGGGGGTGGGTGGGTGCAGGGGCCATTCAATTCACAAATTTTGTTTTCCTTTACCCATAGATGCTGTATGCCAAAATTGATTGAAATTGATTCAGCGGTTTTAGAGAAGAAGTTGGAAATGTTCAAATGTTTACACACGACACACTACGCACGATGAACGATGACGGACGAAAACAGATAGCAGTAGGTCACCTGAGTGACTCAGGTGACTAAAAATGACACTTTGCTGCTTTAAGACATTGGATTTAATTCAATTTGAAAAGGAGCATGTGCAAGGTTTATAAATTATAAAATACATTTCTCATTCACCACAGTATTTTTTTCTTTAATAAAAAATACGTATTAGAATGTCTCAACAGACCGAACACTCTCTACAAAAGCGACATATGATCCACCCTACAAATGTGTTCGGAACCTTTAAACGATGGGTGTTCAGCGAATTGTAATACTCGAGGAGTTCGAAGTGGTTCTAACGAGATTTACTGAGACTACAGCGAGATTGTTAATGAATCAGGTAAATTATTCACGGAAGTGGGGCTAGGAAGTGACAAGCACGTAGAGACATGGTAAACAGAAAAGTTTATTACATGTCAGTTCCCACCACTGTATAATAACTGTTAAAATGTACCTTAATCTTTCTATGTATTATGCAAATGCAAAAAAAAAAAATAATAATAATTAGGAAGAACTGTGTAAATGACCATGCAGACTCTTCCATTTAAGATTTTCAATTATATTCTTATCATCATAAAAATTTGTCTCGATCTTTTTCTTAATATTTATTTTGTTTAATAATTTAATTTATATATTTATTTACTTATGAATTTATTTTAATTGTTTTATTTTTCGCGCGCAGATTTTTTTTTATTGTCGTCACTTATTTTTCCTCAAATATCTGGATCCGCGATCATTTACCGATCACAAAACAAATGCTACTTATTTTCCTTGAACATCTATAGATTACAGTAAGATGTTAATAAACATTTGCAAAGAACCGTCCAATGATAACAAACATGGCGTCATGATCACCTGCAGACAAGTAATTTGACTGTTCTTGAGAAAGACCTACGTCTCCTTACATGCCGATTGAAAGTAGGATTCAAAGCTGCGCAGGTTCATAATCACAATCAAACGATAAGGATTTTTAGAATTTTATATTCTATTATGGAAACGTGCATATTACGCAAAATGATCATGCTCCTTCCTTAAACCCCATATCAAGTAAATTTTGAATTTAATGAGTGGAGGTAATTAGGTATCATGAAATTTTTTTCATAAAAACATGATACATCATTCTTAATTAATATTTAATATCATTGGCTTTGGTACCACCAATTAAAAAAAAAAATTGGAGACGCACTTCATAGGGCGAAAACTTTTAACAGTAATACAGATAATCT